TGCCTTAAGATCTATACCTGGTTCCATTTCACCATCATCAACCTCTTCAGTCACTTTGACTTCAGCTTGATGGTACCTGGTTAGCTCAACCTCTCTTTTGCAGCAATGTCTGCAGTCATTTTAGCAGGGTCTTCGGCTCAGTCAATCGGCATTTCCATAAGATTTTCCTTCTCTGTATTCAATATCATAATTATACTGGTCTATCTTTCCAATCCAACGTGCCAGTTGTCCCTCTGGGTTCTTCAATGATCTTAACCAACGTAACACAGCATGGTCTGTCCTGATGGCAAACCTTGCACCATAGAGGTTAGGATGAAAATATGTCAGACTCTTTACTATAGCAAGGAGTTCCCTCCGTATTACACAGTAGTTCCTCTCAGGTCTACTCAAAACCCTACTGAAGTAGGCCACCACATGTTTCGCCCACTTTCAGAGACAACACTCCTCCAATTCCGACATTAGTAGCATCACAATCCAGTATGTACGGCAGTTAGGGATCTGGAAGCTTTAAAAGTGGAGCCAATTTTTTTCAATGTCTTGAAAGCATGCTGGCAAGAAACTGTCCACTCAAACTTCTGGCCTTTTTTGTAGTGGAGCAGCTATAGTTGCAAAGTCTTTCACGAACTTCCAGTAATAGGTACAGAGTCCCAAGAAACTTCTTAACTCTCCCACATTGTCTGGTGTTGGACAATCATGCACTGCTTTCACCTTATCAGGATTAGTTTGCACCCCATGCTCACTTACAATGTGGCCTAAGTAAAGCACCTCTTTCTGGAACAATTGGCATTTCTTGGGATGGAGTTTGAGGTTTGCTGTTTTCAAATCCAGTAAACACTCGAGCATTCACGAACCTTCGAGAATATTATGACGTGTTACTAGCGTCACGTGACTTCCGCTGTCGTAACATAATTATGGTAGTGTATTGATTTTGTGTGCAATGTACTCTTTACTTTGTGTGTCATATCGTTTCTGCTGATTTTTTCTTTGTATTTGTGGTCCTTTGTCATTTATACTGATTTTTCCCGAGAAAGATTCTACCCTAATGATTTTATCCTAGATTTCATTTGTAAAATTAAGTACAAAAACGTCCGGAAGATCTGAAAAGAGAACCCTTAACTCCCAAAGTTAAGATGAAAATTTTTAATCATTGGTGATTAACTTAGACATACGGTATTTACAACAATTTATAATAAGTACACACATTGCAGGTGACCAAATTCATCAAATTAAAATTCTGAATGAGCTCTGTGATTAAAATTTCTTAAACGATTCTTTTGGTTTTCAAGTATACTTTGATATTTCAGTGTTGTACAGAGATAAATACGAAAACGTTTTTTTTTTTACTTATTGAGTATCATATCTCGCAATAGGTTTATACATACATACATATATATATATATATATATTCTTTTTTAAGCTTGTCATACAGAAACATCTATGGAAGGCATAAAAACTGGAGATTTTTGTCACTGTGTCACGACTTCTTAGAGTATATAATTCAAATTTATCTTATTTTTTATCATTATATGTTAAAATGAAAATATGCATTATTCTTCATCTTAGGGCACGCTATTGAAGCAGGATGGTTCCTCTTAAATGAAGCATTAAAAACGGGAGACACTGAACTCAAGAAAACAGCCATCAAACATTTCATCAACGGATCTTATAACCGAGGATGGGACGAAAAAAACGGTGGACTGTTCTACTTTCTCGATGCCGATGATCTTTCTCCAGTTCAGTTAGAGTGGGGGATGAAGCTATGGTGGCCTCACGCTGAAGCCATAATAGCTTTCTTGATGGCCTTTCAATCAACAGGAGAACAGCATTTTGCAACTGTTTTTGATAAAGTGTTCTCTTACACATTGGAGAAGGTATTAACAACTTATTAAGATAATAATGATTAAATAAACACATTTCTTGCCTTTTTGTAAACTTTTATAAACACAAGGATTTGGAAAAGAAGGACCCCCATTTTTTTGTTGTCGATTTTTCACAATAAGTTTTCGTTTTGGGTTGTGAACTTACCAAAGTTAGAGAAGTTTCTAATAAAAGATATGTCACTATTTTAAATTCTATATTTTATATTTTAAATTGTCATGGAATAAACTACTTTGTTAAGACAAGCTTTCGTTAACATGAATATATAATTCATTTGTAGTGAGTTTCGTAAAAAATACGCATAATTGGAAAGTTTTTTTTTAGTTTGTTTTTGTTGAACTTTGTGCAGAGCTACTAGAGGACTACCTGAACTAGATTTCCATGATTTTAAAGTGATAGATTAGAAGAAGGCTGTTATTCAACTCCATTCACCACCAATTCTTGGGCTACTCTTTACCAAAGAATAGTGGGATTGACTGTCACATTGTTATGCCTCCACGGTTTAAACGGTAACGGGGTTTCAATTCCACAACTTGCAGTTTGCGAGTCGAGCGCCCTAACCATCAGGCCACGTCAGACCTCATTTGTACTTGAAAAGTAAAACAAATCCTTATATGAACATAATAGGGATAATTGCATAACTTAGCAATGACTGATAATACACGATTATAACATGAATTTCTTGTTCAGCCTACTTAATTAACAATATATGCATACGAATATATCTATATTTAGAATTCTATATGCAAGTTAAATAATGCATACAGCCAAAACATATTTTGCCTCAGAGTTTGTTTTTTAACTTTAATTCATTTGAAGATCTATCGTAAAACACTTTTGACACTTACTTTGCTTTAATGGAAATAAGATATCTTAATTTAAACAATGTCTATAAAATGATAATGAAAAGCTATGCTAAACATTATTTTCGTCTAAATTTCACATCTTCGAATGCTGCTGGCCACTTGATATGTACGGCTGGTTAGTAGTTTGAACAATATATAGCTTAGTAATATTTTACTGTTTACTAAAATATCAAAATATTTTAGTATCTTAAACATGTTTTAAATGAAAATATTTTTATACGCTACACCACCTTATCAATACGAGAACACATTGGTTCATCTAGTGTATAACTAAGGTATTAGTTGCTTAGACAGCGTGCACTTTAAAATATATAATGCAAATTATGAAGGTAATTAAAATATCTGCTTTTTAATTGAGAAAATAAAATAACCCTAAATAACATTTTACCCCAATGTTTTTGAACACAAATTTTTGACTAACTAACTACCTTTAATAACAGGGCAGAGTAATAAAACATACAAAGTAAAACGTTCTGTTCTACATACTTAAAAAACTGCCATGAAAGCATAAACGAAGTGTTTTGAATAAATAATTTTGTTCTTAGAATATTTGAATAAATATATTCTTACTTTATAGATGAGAAATTCAAGAAAATGTGTAAACAATTCTATTGCTGAATTATTTTATTTTTCATTTTTGAAATAATTGTGTAAAATAAGTTAAAAATGACTCAGTTTAACAGTTGTCTGATATTCTCACAGTTATAATGGTAAAAAGATGTTTTTAAAGTTTGTTTATGAAAAAGAATTCCGAATACAAAATAAGTGTGGCAAGTTCTATTCATATTGTAAACAGAAGTTTCTACATATTCTTTTTTACGAATAGAGTACTAATTTAATTGCTGTAATTCATGTTAAAACATGTATATATTCAGTTTTCTGATCCTGCAATGGGAGAATGGTACGGGTATCTGACACGGGAAAACCAGTTAAATCAGGACTTTAAGGCAGGACCTTATAAAGGTAAGTTTATTTCAACATCATCCAAATAATTTACTTTTCCACATATCTTCCAAATGTCTCTATATTTCAAATAGACTTTATAATGGTTGTTTTTTCAAAAGTAGATGTGTGTCATTATGTACTCAGAAAAGGGTATCTCTTAAACTTCTCATAGATTCTGTGTTAGTATAACATACTACTTAATTATGCATTCATTCAATTATATGTTAAAAATGTTCAATCAGAAACGACATCCATACGAAGATGTTTCATATACTTTTTTATCCTTTTGAATACTATTTTTTCGTGTTATGTAAATAGTGACATATTTTTGTATTTCAGGATGTTTCCACGTCCCTAGGGCTCTAATGATGTGTGAGATGATGCTGAAGCAGATGTTAGACAAAAACAATTGACACAAGACATAAAAATTGGTCTAATCTATTAATGATTAGCGTAAAGCAAAATATTATTTTAGCTGTATCAACAAATCTAAATTTTTAATCTTGTATTTTGTAATAGAAGATAGAGAATGTTGTATTAAGTGGCATTATAAAAGAGTTGGTACAAAAAGCAGTAACTATAGTAAAAAGAACAACTTCCTGATGGTTTTACTTATAGTAACTTACAATTCAAGAAATGAATAAAATGAATTTTTTCCTCTACTCCCAATCATTATGCAGCATTTCACTGTATTATTGTTAGGATTTTGTGTATGGGCCGGATTCTTTACAGCAGGTGACTTGTTGACGATAAATTTCAACAATAAACAAACATCACACATTCCACTTGTTTTAGACTAATATATTAAAACAAGTAAAACTTATTCACAAATGTTAATTACACTGTTGGTAATCACAGTTGTATCTAGAGCTTTAAAGTCAAAGTCCACACACATGCTGGTTTAGTTACTTTAGAACACAATTGACAAAACGAATTATTCTTATCTATTCTGTTATTACAATACAATCTATGATAATTTCGCTTTAAAAATTGACACTTTACGTTCTTTATGGTTAACTCACAATCACTCAGTACAGATCTATCTTTTTTTTCGTACTAAATTTTCGACGTGTATTTATATTATGATGCAATAATACTCGATGAAGACAACAAGAAAAACTCAGAAGGTTTTTGTAACATGATGCAATAACATAACAATCGATAATTCATAACTATTCAACAACACAATGTATGATTAGCAAACTGTTACGTAAACAAGCTTGCCAAAGACTATCGCTTCTAAAAATAATAAATTTAACACTCACGCTGTATAAAATATTTAAATCATAACACTCGAATTAAACATAAACGGAAACATTCATGTATATCTAACATTTATCAAATAGGCAGTGTAAAATAATATTTAAGCAAGCAATATAATATGTATTATGAAGTTTATAAGCTAATAATTACGAGGTTTGTAATATAAATCGAAGCATTAAAGTAGTTCCACGAAATACATCGTAAACTTATCACTGTATTATATTTTGGTAAATACTTGACGTAAGAGTGTGCTGAAGCAAAAGTTGCATAAAAGCTTTTATCATACTTATTTTCTGCCTACGTATTGGTTGGACACTAGAAAGACGGCTATGTGTGCATGGTCAAAATACGATAAATGTATTTTGTAGTTATGAGATTTAGGCTTTAACTTGTAAACACATACAACAGTATAACTTGTCTATATTTTATGTCGAACAAGAGTGGCAAAAAAGGAATTTTTTTTTTCAGAAAGTTCAATTTACTTTAGCTGTAGTGATGGAGAACCTTAAATTACAATCACAATTTTATGTTACAGAGACTAGATTGGCCTATAAATGTATAATATGCAAAACTTGATAAGGATACATTATTTAATTTTCATATAAACAGACAATTACAATAAAGCAGGCAAAATAACTCATGCCTCATTGTCATATTATGCATTTCACGCATTAAATATTTTGCAATGTTCTGATTTGTATGAAAATTGCAAACATTATGAAACTGAGTCTCCGATTCATTCACTATACTTTTAAGTAACTTAGACTTGTGAACAATGAATTATGCTTTTTTTTACTTATCTTTAATGAACGAAATGAAAACTGTCACAGAATCAAGAATACTGAAGCAACTCAAATACTTCATAAACCATTCGATTAATATCGTTCTTTTGCATTTTATAAGTGCACATACTCAATTCAAAAGTAATTAAGAATGCTAACAATTACATAAAATAAATTACCAACCTGTTCTTAAAAAACAGTCTTGATGTTAAAGATGTATCCCTGCAACTTTCAGTATCAAGTTCTCTTTTAAATGAAGTTTTGTTTTATTTGATTTTCTTGTAATAAAAGAATTGTGCTCAAAATATAGTTGTAAAGTTTAATACAGCAAGAAATTGCTTTTACATAGCATATACTCAGTAAAAATATATTAACCAACTTGAGTTGTAGGCTTTCTGACCTTTTAATAACTTAGGCCATAAATTTAAGCTTCATACATGTAAAAACTTTTAATCATTTATTCCTAGTGCTTACTCGTTTGGTATTGTCAAGTGCGTTGATTTCAAACGAGTAAAAGTACTACCCGCTTTAACTAGGGGATTATCAGAATATCTTTTGCAGAATTAATCTGAATTCTGATCTGACTGAATTGAAGAAAAAGACAGACATGAGTTGTGTGGAATACAAAAACACACATCTCAATCAGTGGACGTGTTCATAAGACGAAAATATACTTGAATTTCTGTCTAACTGTGGAGAGAGATCTATATTTAGAAAAGAAGATTCTGGATAAGAGACTGACCAGACAATAAACAACTTTAGCGTTACTTTCCGTGGGAAGGCCAAGAAATACCAAAGATGAAATAGTCTTTCCCAGTGTGTAACTAGCTCAGGAATATGGGTGATGCCTTCCAAGCTAGTTACCTGGACATGACATGCAGCATAGATGCACCTAAAATGGGTAAATTTTTAAACCTTGGAAAGGTCTTCCAAGATTTTGGGATCTTCTGGTGCAGTTATAGATAGATTAAGATTACTTCATATGAATCCCTTAGACTTTTAGTTTTACAAAAATCTTAACTTTAAGGGACAATATTTTAAAACTTTTATAAGAGTATGCAACTCACTTTTAGTTTTACAAAAGCATAACTTTTAAAGCAAAATACGTGTAAAAACCTAAAGATGCAAAACAGTTTTACAACATAACCCATTATTCTTCTGAAAAAGAACAGTGAACTATTCGGAAGTACTCGAGTTTTGGGTCTCGTTTGAAAACCACACACTAAACCTTTTACACAATAATGTAAAATAGTTCTAACTTTACAGAAATCACAAATCTTAAGGCTAGAAAACACGAAAAATAACTTTTTGTTTTACATTAATGATGAAGAGTTTGGAAAACAGCCTCTATGTTTGCATAATAACATACCCTCACCAAAAGCTAGATATCAATGTATTTCTGACAACAGGCTTTCCAAAAACGTGGCCATAGACGTTTTATTTGACTAAGTGGTCTTGTAGATAATCTCCTCACTTTTCACCAGGATGCAGGATGTGAAAAACACCACTATCTAGTCTAGAACAATTTTTGAATACACACAATGTTCTCATTTTCATTTGATTCAGTATCCTACACCTCTTCACTATTTGTACAACCAGTAAAAGAGTGACTCCATGGCATGTAGCTTTAGCTGATCAATGTATTCAACTTGCATATGCATATCATATGACTCTGCAATTTGTTGATGTATTCAACTGTCTAATAATAATATAAGGAACGGTTCAACCACAACTACATTGCTTTCATGCTGTCTGAATTTTTTATAGAAGCAGTGGAGGTCATTTTTCAGTCTCATTGACTGCCGAAGAAGACTTGTCAACATGTGGCTGAGACATGCACAAAGTTATAAGTATTAATTAGTGTTTGTGCCAAAGAATGCATGGTGCCTTTTTTTGATTATCAGACCAATGTGTGGCTGTAGAAAGCAAATTATCCTTCTGTACAATCCTAAGCTCCTCCGAATAACCAAATAAAGTTGAGACACAAAAACACAGCATTCTATTAAACAAAACACACAGCAGTATAATTCGTTTATAAAGTTCCAAGGCTAACCAAAAGGTTACCATCTCCTTCATCTAGTTCTCACTGTCTCCTAAATATCTCCTATTGGCCACAGGTGACAATAACCAGTAAGATTAAACTCCACTGGCTGGAAATAGTCTGGATGCCCTATAGAGACCACCTTCTCAATCTCGAGGCCTCCAGAATGCAATTCACCATAATTACCTACAGCCATGCTCCGTTTTTCATTTCAACTGACGTTCAGGTTCAAAGAAAAAACATCGTTAGCAGCTCGTTAGTCCTGTGTTGTGGTTCTCCTACCGGAATATGTAGCCAAAGTTAGAAAATTGTCATTCTTCTAGATCATAGCATATTCAAAGATTCAGTCTCTTCAGTATCCAATTCCTTCTAAACTTTTTGTCTCAAAAATCTAATTTACAAGTGCTACTGAAATTCAAACTTATGACCTAAGGAATACAAATGAGCACAAAAACACATCCGTGAATATAAAGACAACTCTGCAAAACAAGTCTTGCCCCTTTACCAAACTCAACCTCAGTGCTTTACTCTTTGGTGTTTTCAGGTGCATTTATTTCCTCTAGGTAAGAATAGTGCCTGCTCTAACTAAAGGATTAACATAAAATGTATTACAGAGTTAATCTGCTCAATTTTTGTTACGTATTTGAATTTCGAATAGTGCGAAGCCGAGTTAACTGATAATTTAAATTTAGTAGTTAAATTATACTTGGGATTTAGTATTTAAATATATGCCAATATAAAGACAGTTTATTATATTTGCCAACAAGATTGATACACGCCGTTTTCATTTTTAACACATATACGTTTTAAGATACACACAACAGTACAATT